AAAGAAAAGTAGCCAGTTTCATGGCCAAAAGTCAAAATGTCCTTGGGCCTGTTAGCAAAATATTCTGTTCCAAAGACCAAAAATGTCAAAAGTATTTGGGAGCTTGTATCTAATCCTTCAAAGATTTTAGGGTTACCTCTTCAGAGGGGGGAATGTTAGAGTACCCAAAAGCCCCATCAAAATAAATAAATGAAAGAAGAAAAAAAAAAAAGAAAAAAGTGACGGGGAGATATGGGAGGTGTTGGAAGGGAGGGAGTGGGCATGGATTTGATCAAAACACTCATATGCATGTAGGAAATGCTCAATAAAGTTTTTGCAAAAGTTAAAAAAAATGAAAAACTGTAAGAAAAAAAAGAAAGATGAAATAATACAAAAAGGGCAGTGCTTAGGTCAGGTAAGAATTTGATAAAATTAACTAACTCCACATATTTATAAAGGGGGTTCTATAATGCTTGTGAAACAGTAAGAACAAAGAAGAAAGTAATTGTTGAGACTCTGTTTAGACATTTGCATAAGGTAGAGACCAGGCCTTAAAATCTATGAGAACTTTGTTTCATGCTTGGCATAAACAAGCAGGAACTGAGGTCTAAAGCAAGCAGATCCCCATAGAAGGGGTTAGAGACCAGCTCAATATACACTCAATAAAGTAGGGGAGGAGATGAAGTAGGCTTATCTTAGGTGAGGGCAGCTCTTCTCTGAAAACACTCAGGATCCTAGAGTTTCTATGGGCTCTACCTGCTGATAGTTACAGTTTCAGAAATTAAAAATGAAGGGGCCAGAAAGATAACTGTGAAAAAAAGTTCCCAGAGAAACTGTATCTTAAAACTGAACCCTTTGCAAAGACTGATTAGAACTTTAGTCAGTGTGGAGAGTTTGGAATGCTGCAGGTTCAAAGCCTAATCACAATTTGTCTTGGGCTATCTTTAGCCCCTCTGATTAGCTACTCCTTACCCACCTGTATCTGACTTTACATCTGTTACTAACAGATAAAAACCTCTGGGAATGTATTAGTAGACCACCAGCTTCCACCAACCAAAAGACTAAGTGTCATCAGACAGTGTCTGAGGCCTATAGCTGAGGTCTCCTTTTTGCTGTAACTGCCTACTTAATGTTTCCACCAATGTATTAGAAAAGCGTTTTGATGTATGACTTTTCTTTGTTCTGTTACTATTGTTTTCTTTCTTTCTTTCTTTCTTTCTTTCTTTCTTTCTTTCTTCTTTCTTTCTTTCTTTCTTTCTCTCTCTCTCTCTCTCTCTCTCTCTCTCTCTTTCTTTCTTTCTTTCTTTCTTTCTTTCTTTCTTTCTTTCTTTCTTTCTTCTTTCTTTTTAATGGTCTTTTTGAGACAGGGTCCAGCTGGCCTGGAACTCTGGAACTCACTATGTAGACCAGACTGGCCTTGAACTCTCAGAAATCTGCCTGCCTTTGCCTCCCAAGTGCTAGGATTAAAGGCGAGTGCTACCACGCCCTGCTGTTCTGTTACTATTTTAAAACTATATGAAACTTCTTCCACACTGGAACATGGAATTTGGGCTAACCTGAATCTGTGTTCCTGGTCCATGGTCACTCATATTTGGCTCCAGAATAAACTATCTCTTATCCCCTTCAAGGTTAAGTGTTGTGCTTTTGTGTCCACAGCTCACAGGGAAAGGTGCTTGCCAAGCAAGTGTCATGACCTGAGTCTGATCCTTGAAACATGGTGGAAAGAAAGAGCTGACTCCTGCAAGTTGTCCTCTGATCTCCACACAATAGTGTGCATATACACACACATACAAAATAAATAAATGTAAGGAAAAAAAGGGGCTGGAGAGATGGTTCAGCAGTTAAGGGCAATGACTGCTCTTGCAGAGGACCCAGATTCAGTTCCCAGCACCCCTATGGTAGCTAACAACCCTCTGTAATTCCAGTTCCAGGGGATTCAACGCCCTCTTCTAGCCTCTGCAGGCATTGCATGTGTGTTGTGCACTTACATACATGCTGGCAAAACACTCATACATGTAAAATATAAATTTCTTTTTGGTATTTTTGAATAAAGGTCTCTCTGTATCCCCAGCTGGTCTGGAACTCATTATATAGACCAGACTGGCCTCGAACTACTAGAGCTCTTCCTGCCTTTGCCTCCCAAGTGCTAGGATCAAAGGTGTGCACCACTGTGCCTGGCCTAAATTTTTTAAAAAAAAATTAAAAATGAAAACTGAAGTAAGTATAAGAGTGCAAGCATGCCAGACATGTGAGTTTGAGGTCAGCCTGGTCTACACAGAGAACTCCAGGCCTGCTGGGGCTACAGGAAAACCCTGTCTCAAACGACTAAAACAAAACAACAACAACAAAAGCGTGCAAGCACACAATCCCGGGATTTGGGATGCTAAGGCAGAAAGACAATGAATTTCAGGCCAGCCTGGGCTACACCACAAGTCCTTGTTTCGAATACTTACCTGGCAGGGGAGATACCATGATCGTGAAGGTAGTTTTCCCGGGGTGAACCTTATCCTTTGCACTCCAGATGTGCTGACCTCTGCAACTTCCCCAAATGTGGGAAACCTGACTGCATAATTTGTGAGAGTGGAGGATTGCTTTCACTCTCACCCTTAGAGAAAGAGAGAGAGAAAGAAATAACTTGTGTTTAAAAAAGTCAAAAAGAACAATAAATAAATAACAAAAATTTACAAGATTTTGTAGTTGTTTTTTGAGATAAGATCTCACTATGTAGACCAAGTTGCTCTTGAACTTTTTGCCATCTTTCTGCCTCTGCTTCTCCAGTACTGGAATATAGGCCTGGACCACTACTTTCAGGCCTTTGATCCCAGCACTCAGGAGACAGAGGCAGGCAGGTCTCTGTGAAATTGAGGACAGCTTGGTCTACATAGCAAGTTCCAGGGGCTACAGGGAGACCCTGTCTCAAAAAGACCAACACACACACACACACACACACACACACACACACACCAAAACAAAAATAAAATAAAGGAACAAAACAACTTTAAACCGAAAACAAACAACAACAATAAATATCCATTGGTCTATCTTGAACATTTCTTTTTTTAGATGGAGAGAGTTTCACTATGTTGCCCAGGCTGGCCCCAAATTTCTCTTCTTAAGTGATCCTCTTGCCTCAGCTTCCTGAATATAGATGTATACCACTTTGCTCTCTCTTTCTCTCTCTCTCTCCTTTTGGAGACAGGGTCTTCCGGTAACCTAAGATGACTTAGAACTCACTATGAGACCAAGCTGGCCTGGAACTAACAGAGATCCACCTGCCTCTGCTTTCTGAGTGCTGGGATTAAAGGGGTGTGCCACCACTGCACTTTAAACGGATCATTTTATTCATGTGTATATGTTGTAATGTTATGCCTTTGTCACTTGAAACAAAATTGGTTGAATGAATTATGTAGATGTTTCAAATATTGCCATATTTTATTTATGCTTTTTACATTATTTATTTGCTGTGTGTATGTGCATGTGTGCACACTGAACTCATGTAGAGGTCACAGGACAACATGCAGTAGTTGGTTCTCTCCTTTCATCATATGGGTCTCGGGGATCAAACTCAGGCCATCAGGCTTGGTGCCAAGTGCCTTTACTTGCTGAGGCATCTCACTGGTCCCAGCATATTTTATTATACAACAGCAAAAAATCACATTTGTTGGGGCTGGAGAGATGACTCAGCAGTTAAGAGCACTGGCTCCTCTTGCAGGGGACCCGGGTTTGATTCCCAGCATCCACACAATGGCTAACAACCATTTATAACTCCAGTTCCAGAGGATCTGATGCCCTCTTCTGGACTCCTTGGGCACTGAACACACATGATGCACTTACATGGCAGGCAAAATACTCATACCCATAAAATAAAAATAAGGGGTTAAGAGCACTGGCTGCTCTTGCAGAGGACCCGGGTTTGATTCCCAGCACCCACATGGTGACTAACAACCATCCATAACTCCAGCTCCAGGGAATTCAATGCCTTCTTCTGACCTCCAAAGACTTTGGATGACACTGATGCACCGACCTACATGCAAGCAATACATTCATACACATAAAAAATAGAATAAAAAATTAAAACAAATACATTTTTAAACATATTCAGTAACAATTTCCAGAGCAAAGATACATCTCTTTCAAAAGTGGCTATAAATTTTTAGGTTCACAGTTGAATTAATACAGTTATACAATATTGAACTCAGTATAAACCCTATAAGACATAAAATTGAATGAGCTTTTAACCTTTAAAAAAGATCTCTATTTCATTTTAAAATGTACTGTTTCCTACAGAAAGACTCATTTGTAATGCTACTATCACTTAGATGTTTGCACATGCATCTCTAATCTCTATGTATCTGATTATTACTAGTCACAGTTGGTTACACTTGGATCTTTGGCACCTGAGTATGTATATAAAGTCATCAGCTAGATTTCAATGATAATGTTTATCACCTCTACTAATTAACATGAAGTGAAGTTTTATGCTTCCTCCTCAAATATAACTCGTTTTTTATTTGTTGATTTTTTTTGTGTGTATATATCATACAGAGCATCCCAAACAATTTTATTCATCTATATACCCACTTGCCAAATGGCACCTTCCCATAGCCTCCCCCCACCCCTGCACTGGAGCCCATGTACTCTGTCATCACTGTTACTGTCCACTGTGTTGTTGGTGCCCCCAGCCATTCCCCAGTGCTTGCCCATCTGCTGAACCTAGTCAGCCTATCTAGAGCTCCTTGTTTTAGGAAGATCAGCTGCTCTTCATCTAGCAGCAATCAGTTGTCTATTCCTTAAATAAGATTGGGGTCTGCTGTTCATTTTCCCAGTTCTATGCTGGGCTACTGTCTGGGAGCCTTTTGGGCTGCCCTGGCCAACAACTCAAAGGAAGGTATCTCCTGTCTGGCATCGTTTCTGGTTATGTAGAGCTATACATATGGACTCTTAAAAAATTTATATTGACCCCTTTTAATCTTTGGTTATACTTTCCTTTTGGTTGTTTAAGACCCTACAGTTGGCCCAGATAAACCAATTTATTTTTACTCTTAAGGTCATTTAAGGATCTGTTCCTCGGGGGTCACATGGGCTTGGGAGGAGCCCCTGGCTCCATTCTTTTACCAGTTCCGTCTAGTGAAGATAAGTCAAAGGTCCTGCTTGATCATGGCTGGCTTCACTTGGAAGCATGGAGGAAATGTTTCCTCTCTGTTGACCCTCCTCTTTGTAGACTGGACACTGGTTCAAATCTATCAAGTGGGGTCTCCATGGCCTCCTTGATCAAGAGGAAGGTGACTCACCACAGTTACAGGGCATTTTGAGAGATGCTCATAGTCCCCTGGAACTTAGTTGACCTAGGAGGGCAAGGAGCAAAAACCGTCCTTTATGTCCCTCTGACCAAATTAGTATAGGCCTCAAAGTATGACTGTTAAACATCCAAGAACGTTCCACCAGCCTGGTACTTTTAATTACCATGTGCCATGTAGATAAAGCTTGGGCAAAGACCAAACATTCTCAGATAAACCTTGCCTAGACATATATTATATTCCTTGATCTGGTTGTATGTATAATTTGTCAGTAGGTTGTTGGACTGATATGGTTCCCTCTGTTTTTTAATACTATCTAGGCATTATCTCTCTCTCACATTGTCTAACTCTTCCACCATGGTTTCCCCATTTAAGGTGCCCCCATTTTTTCCATTTCTCTCTTAATAATACCCTTTTCCTATGGTCCCACCTCTCTTGAGCTCCTTATTTCTCTTTATCCCCTAAGTTCTTTGTATAACCTTCCCTTCCCCCTCCCCTTAAAATAAAAAAAAGAATAAATATTTTTTTTAAATCACATTTGTTGATATCCCTACTAATCTCATGAGGGCTGCTAAGTATTTATTGGAAAGCTGCTGTTCCCAACAGCAAAAGTTTTCCAAAGGTCTAATTTCCCATTAAAAACTTGAATTTTATCACAGGAAACAAATATAATCAGTTATGCTCCTTGAAGTGACCAGCTGATTCTGTGTTTAATAGAATATCTACCAAATACTTAGCTCTGAATAATAACCACATTTCATTAGTCTCAAGTTTGTCCAAGTTAAAATGATGTTCCAGGAAAAAAGTGGGCAATTTGGTCTGAAAATCACAATGCTTGTATAAGATCTTTTCCACTGCTCTTGAGGATTCAGATCTTTTCAGTTTCCATGTCATCAAGCATGTTAGCATTTGTTTATTTTTGTAAAGATTTTTATTTACTTATTTATTGATCTTTTCTTTTTTTTTGAGACAGTTTCTCCATGTAGCCCCAGCTGGCCTGGAACTCACTATGTAGACAAGGCTGGCCTCCATCTCACAAGGATCTATCTGCCTGCCTCTGTCTCCCAAGTGCTGGGATTAAAGGTGTATGCCACCATACCTGGCTTTATTTTCACTTATGTATTCTTTCTTGTGTGTGTCTGTATGTGGGTATGTATTTGTATGTGCAGGTGCCTGCAGAGGTAAGAGTCATTGGATACCCCTGAACTTGAATTATAGGAGGTTTTGAGCCACCCATTGTGGGTGCTGGGAACTGACTGGGGTCCTCTGCAAGAATAATATACTCTCTTAACTGGTGAGTCATCTCTCCAGCTCCCAGGCTAGCATTTAAAAAAAAATGTGCTATACTAAAGGATCAACATTTAATAAAATTTACAATGCAGTATTGTTTTACTGCTTCATTAAAGATTTCTCTTTTTTTCTTTTTTTGTTTTGCTCTGTTTTTCTGAGACAAGACCTCTCTGTAGCCCCAGATGACCTGGAACTTGCTACGTAGTCCAGGCTGGCCTCAGTCTCACAGAGATCTGCCTGTCTCTGTTTCCCTAGTGCTGGGATTAAAGGTGTGCACCACCAACCTGGCTATTCTTTTTAAAAAATATTTTATTATTTTATTTTATGTGTATGAATGTATTGCCTGCATGTGTGTGAGTGCACCTGTGCCATGCAATGCCCACAGAGGTCAGAAGAAGGCATCAGGTCTCCTGGAACTGAAGTTACAGACAGTTCTTAGCTGCCATGTGGGTGCTGGGAATTGAACCCGAGTCCTCTGCAAGAGCAGTCAGTGCCCTTAACTGCTAAGACATCTCTCCAGCCCCCCCTTTTTTAAAAAAAATTTAAAATAATGTGTATATGTGTGTTAATATGTACATGTGAGTGCAGGTACTTGAGGAGTCTAGAAGAAGGCATCTGATCCTCTGGAGCTAGAGTTACAGGTGGTTGTGAGCCATGTGACATGGGTGCTGGGAATGGAACTTGGATCCTCTGGAAGGATTTCCAGCCTTCCCACCTTTTAAAGATTTGAGACAAGGTCTCATGTAACCCAGACTGACCTCAAACTTGCTATGTAGCCAAGGCTGGTCTTGAACTCCTGATGATCTTCTTGCTTCACCTCACATGCTGAGATCACAGGTATGTGCCACCACACCTAGCTCCTTTTCTTTTTTTTTTTTTTTTTTTGGTCATCTTGAGACAGGGTCTCCCTGTAGCCCCAGCTGGCCTGCCTCTGCCTCCCATGGGATTAAAGGCATGCGATACCATGTCCTATTTCTAGCTCCATTTTCAACACCAATAAAGATTCCAGGAAAGTCTGGGTA